TATTGTATTTAACAGCATTAGAATACTTTTTTCTTACTACCATTGTTCCTCTGGAACAAGAGTAAGTACAGAATAGCGGTCAAGAGCACAGGCTCTTGGACTTGACTGCCTGGGTCTGAATCCCAACTCCATCACTTATGATCAGTATGGCATTGTACAAGTCACTTAATATCTCTGTGCCTCCACCGCTTCATTGGCAAATAAGGACACTAAGAGTAACTACCCTGAAGGCTATTGAGGGAATAAAATGAATTAGTATGTAAAATAGGTGCCTAATCTACCCAACGGGTTAGCCATCATTCATTATTATTATTATTAAAGATCATTTCATTTATTTATACACCTTGTTCCACCTACTAGACCCTACTTCATATTCTTGGTGAAGATAGAGACTGCTTTTAAAATAAAATTTCTCCCCAGTGCTTGCACATTGTTATGCTATCCAAAGAGGAAGTCAATAAATATTAATTGTATGAATATGTAAATTAGAGTTAAAATCCCATTAAAGTGAACAAGAAATGACAGACCAATTTCCTTATTTATAATCTGTGAAAAGATTAAGTTCTGTAAGTCTTGTTTTCATAAATAAAAGTACCCATGCATTCATATTAATCCCATTAGACTTGGTGCCACAAAATTAGAAGACAGGAATGAAGAATACCACAAAATAAAACTTTTCTGCTTTCAGTTTAGTTATGAACACCTCTGCAGTGCATCCGAAATCCAAAATGTTAATAATTACTGAGTATATACATTAAGCTCATTAGCTTCATCTAGTACTTGAAATTAAACAATTACATTATCACCTTTATCAATGCTATTTTTAGCTGGCTCTTAAACAGATGTGAAATAAGCTAAATGAGACAACTGTTAGTGTACTCATGGATCTATCCTTTTCACAGGTGTCAATAACAGAGAAGCTATAATCCTATATAATAAAAGCCTAATATGAAAATTGTCCCCTCGACCGGGAGTTCGACCGCGCACTATGACATGCGCTGACCACCAGTGCGGAATATGACGGACGTAGGCCATGTGGCACTGGCAGCGGGCAGCAGTAGAGGCACTGCCGGCCCTGATGGGCCCTGACGAGAGCCGAATTGTGGCGGGATGGTGAAGCAGGTGAGCAGGCAACACCAGGCCAAGGCAGGTGCGAGCGGGGACCCAATCGCCCTGCAGATGGCGACCAGCGGCGGTGGCAGGGGGTGGGGCTGCTGCCCGGCACCCAGGCACTGAGGGAGCCGGGTGGGGGGCTGAGACAGGGAACTGGGGCTGGGTGGCAGTGACCAATCTCCTGTGGCACCTGGGCGGGGGGCTGCAACCTTTCACCGGCTACCTGGTGGTGGGGGTGACGAGGTCGGAGGTGCGGTGAGGATGTGGGGGGTCTGCCAAGCTTGCTCTCACTCCCCTTGCTATGCTTCCACAGGATGCCAGAGCTTGCGAGCCAGGGAAGTCCCCCCACACTCAGGTGCTGGACACCTGCGAGGAGCCCACCCTGCACCTGCATGGCCTCTTCCGGGTGAGCCAGGCCATAGCCACCTGGACTGCAGGGGCAGGTCGGGCTCCCCATGGGTTCACGCAGGAGCTGGTCTGTGAGTCCGGCTGGGAGAGAGCGTGCTGCCCACCCGGCTTCCGTGCAGTGCTACTGGGCGGCCCAGAGGCCCACACTGCACCTTGGTCCACGGCGTCCGGCCATGCTCACCACATCTCCGCGTGGGGACTCGGGCAACATGACTCAGGCGGAGGGGGGCACGTGGGGGCCTGGGGGTTCAGGTGCTGCCCAGGGCCCAGAGGTCAGCTGGGACCTGCCCTTCTACACCAGATGCTTGCGCTTCGATCGCCACCCAGGCCCAGAGACCACACACATGCACAAATTTCGTGCACCGGGCCTCTAGTTGCAATATAAAAGCTGCTAGGAAGAAAGTGTTCAAAGCTACTTAGGTAAAGGCTTTATCAGATTTAATCATTCTTGCTAAAGGGAAGAAATGTTCACTTTATAATAACAATAGTCAAAAGGATTTACATATCTATGACAACTTTACTTAAGATTATCGTTTAATGCCTTTTACTTATGTTGTCATTAAAGAAATGCATTCTTTTCAAAGATCCATCAGCCCAAGATACAAAGAAGAGTAATAAGAGCAAGGTCCCTTTCAGTCCCACATGGTCCATTCTTCCACAATAAGCAATTTAGGTCAGGGTAGCTTTAAAGGAGTCAATTAGTATCACACTCATTCTCATTCCAGTAAAATTATTCACATTTCATGACATTTGTCTTTGACTACTATAGTCTTTATTCCAGTGTTCCTTGGAACTATGGGGAGAGTTCAAAAATCTGCAGTCTATTATGCTAAGCGAAATAAGCCAGTCAGAGAAAAACAAGTATCACATGATCTCACTTACATGTGGAACCTAATTTACAAAATAAACTGCCAAACAAAACAGATCCAGAGACATGGAAGCATGGAACAAAATGATACCAGATTTAAGGGTATACTGAAAACTTCCTGAGATTGGGAATGAGACAAGGATGCCCATTGTCACCACTTCTATTCAACATTGTACCAGAGATTTAGCCAACCCAATATGAAGTGAGGGGAGAAAAGGTAAATTACATGAACAGACTAAGCTCTGGTTAGGGAGAAGAAGGGCAGGACAGGGATAAAGGGCAGGGAGCAGAAAATTGAACTAAAGGTCAATTTAAAATTGTAAAGCGCTATACTTTAACTTTGCTTCTTAAGCTATGATCCTCTCTACAAACTTGTAGGCTAGGTAAAGCAGGTATTATTAACTTCAACTTTGCTAAGACTCAGAGAAGTAAAATGATTCGTTTAAGGTCACTCTTTAAGAAGCAAAAGGCAAAATGAAGACTGTCTCAGGCAGTGGGAGTTTAAATCTAAGTTTGTTTTTTTTGTTTTGTTTTGTTTTTCAATATGTCTTCTCACAGAAAGGGAGCTAGAAAAGTGCAAAGGAAAATTTTGTGCAGAACTTGCTATTCAGTCTCCCAAACTTAAATAAAGTTGCCACTGAACTCATTATCTAGAATCTGTTTTTCTTCCATATCTAAGAATTTGGGGACATGGTAGGTTGAAATGGCAGAAAGGTACCCCCTGACTTTACATGCATAGAAATGTCATAAACTATTAAAAAATAAATAAAGAGGACAAGCTCAAAAGACAGGAAAATCCCCAGATGCTGGAAATGAAGAAAGAACTTAAAATCAGAGTGAGAAGTGGGAACTGACCTAGATTCAGAATAGCTTCAGGGTCTGGTCCCCGGAGTTTTAGTGCCCATCCAGGAATAGAGATTTGTTTTCCAGTTTTTAAGGCAAGAGTACATGTGGGTGAGTGACAAAGACCAGACTATAGTTCTCTTCATGAAATCTGGACCCTTGATGAGCTACCCTGTCAGTGAAAGAGAGTAGGAAAAACTCTATCCACTGGTTCAGGAAAACATGAAAAATAAAAAACTTTCTATCAGTGACCTCACATAGGGGTAATAGAGAATAGACAAAAAGGCCCCAAGAAATGGAAACCATAGGCCTATGCTATAATTGAATATTATGGGAATTTACATGATCTAAATGGCATGGAAACTCCTAAATGAGAAATTACATGGACCATTGAAATCCCTAGGGCTCTGACAGCAAGGGAAATGAAAAAGCACTGACTGGACTTTCACAACACAACATATAGGACTTCCATAGGAACAGGAAAAATATCTTGCTCAAGATGTGATCATCTTCAAACAATTACACACCATACAAAAAAATACATTTTGATGGAGTCAACATATACAACAAGAAGGGTATCTACCAACCACCCAGAAAAAATTAGAAATTCCAAAAGAAACTATAAAATAGTATGTTTAAAATGATTAAAATAAAAATGTAAAAGCATAACTAAAGATTAGGATATTCTGAAAAATTTTGACATTTGCAAAAGAACCAAAAAGAATATCTAAAAACTATAGTTACGAAAATGAAAAAAACTGAGTGGATATATTAAAAGCACATTAGTCATAGTTGAAGTGATTCTTAGGTAACTGGAGTACATCATCCAGAATGAACTGAGGAGAAATAAAGAATAGAAAACATGAAAGTACATATAAAAGATATAGAGGAGAAAAATCTAATAGAAGTTCAAAAGGAGAAGATTGAGGGAATGAAGGCAGACAGACAATAGCTAACACTTTTGAAAAATGAAGACAGCCATGGAAAGCACAACTGCTGAATAGAATGACTAATAACTAATCCATATCTAGACATAGGTTAGCAAAACTACATAACATTAAAGATTTCTGATGAAAGATTTCTAATCAGCAGCAAAATAAGTCACAGAACTTATTTAGTCAAAGATCTAAAGGAAAATAACTGTCAATCTAGCTAACAATCATCCCTTCCCTACCTATTTCTTAACTCAGTGGAGAGAGGTATGCCAGCAGAAGAGATACTTGGATTGGAGTAGCTGGAATTAGCAAACACCAACAATATCTGGGAAGACACTTAATTCTATGGAAACTGTACCTGTGTCTCTTAAATATGAGGTGGAACTGATGACCTAGACATAAGGCTCCAAAAGCTTTTGCCTTTGCACTATTTCTAGCCAAAAGCTGGATTTTTCAGCAGCAAAGGCTTAGAATTATTTATGGAGCATGTAAAGTGAACTCTACATACATAGCATAGCAATTAAAACTGAAGTCTCTAAAATCAGACTAATGGGGATCAAATCTTGACGGCTTGTTAGGCACTGAGTGAATCTGGTCATGTTACTTTACTACTCTATGCCTCAGTTTCTGCAGCTATTATCTCACAGTTTAAAAACTATTAAATAAGGAAAGACATGTAAAGCATAGTATCCAGCACAGAGTATGTGCTTAATAAAGCCCAGTTATTATCATTACTTAGTTTTGACCATAGTACTATAATTTGATTACATAGCTGTAACTAATTAATTTTACTATGACTACTAAAAAAAACCCTAAAAATATAGGAAACATACTCTGACATCTACCGAGCAGCCCACAGTCCATGATGGATTTCCCAGCACTTGATTTTGGCATAGAAGATGAACTAGTGAAGATTTCCCAACACCTGTAAAAGATACAAGAACTCAAGTTATATAAGAGACATGCTGAAATCTGATAGCAAAAATATAACTGAGAATATGCAGTAATAATGGTATGTAAACTATGGTTGTTTAAAGGATGTTCATACCATATCAAGCATTTAATAAGCTTTATGAATAAGTAAATGGTCAAGGAGGGCTTGTTAAAATATAGAATGCTGGGTCCTGCTCCCAGTTTCCTATTCAGCAGGTCTGTTGTGGAGCTCAAAGATTTTGCACTTCTAACAAACTCCTTGGTGATGCTGATGATACTGGTCCAGGGGCCTTGCTTTGAGAACTACTGTTCTAGGGCAATTTCATATGAACTAGTCCTTTCCTTTTGAATGATTTCATCTCTTCAGCCTTTTTTAGAATTGTAGACTATTAACAGATGTTGGAGGTAATGCTCTATCCTGATGACCAATGGAGAGGTCTCTTCCATGGCACCATTAGATGATCTTTCAGATGGTGCTTGAACACTGTCTGTGACAGGGACTCACCATTTCACAATTCCTTATTTAGACACTCCAATTCAGGCAGCCAACCACTTGGCTCAGCTTTACCCTCTGGAAAAAAGAGAACAAGTCTACTCCCTCTTCTACATCATGGCCCTTTACCTTAAGGCAGCACTTTATTTTCCTGCAGCTCTCCTGGGTTCAGGGCAATCTATATGAGGGGGGGAAGAAAATGAGTTTCCATTTACATAATGGAGTCACTCATATAATTAACAGCATTTTGATGCCATTATGACAAGCATGGTTGATGAATCTTCATGCATCATTTGTTGTATAAAAAATTTAGACCATCTCTTTGTGTGCAATTTTGTGTATGAACCTATCATTTATGTTTATTTTTTATTATATGAAGTTATATTTACAGACAATCAGAAAGTATTTTTTAAAAAGAAGAAAAAAATCACCTGAAGAGCACTATTGTCAACATGTAGGTTTAATTCCACAAGCAGGGTTTTCTATAAGTGGATTCTTACTGTAAATATATAAATGGTATACTTGAAAACAATAAATCATAAGGCTCTGTTTACACATCTGGTTTTGTCTGGAATATACTACCTATTCTTCCCCACCCCTGCCCTCCGTTGGCCTGGTGACCTAATCTGTCAAGACTCAGCATCATTCTAGTTATTGTCATTTTTGATTCCACACAGGTAGAACTAAACACATTATCCACCATCCTCTGGGTCTCCACTGTGCCCTGTACATTGTTCTACATAACACTTAAAACACATTACACTTGTTTATAGGTTTTAGATTTTATTCACTGTTTAATTTTAATTTCTTTGAGGACTGGGTTTTACTCACCATTTAAAAAAATTTTCCAATACTCAGAACAGGTCCTTAAATAGTACTTATTTAGTAACTAAAATTCTCCATGTTATTACAATCTTCCTAAACATATTTACTATCTCCTTTATAATTCAGAACACTGACATAATAATTTACTTAACTATCCCCTAATTACTAGATATTTAGGGAGTTTTAAAATTTTCACTATGCCAAAAAAAGATTTGTTTAAACTTTTGATTAAAATTAAAATTATTTTGCCAGGTTGTGGTGGCTCAGTGGATTGAGCCATCATCCCATGGACCAAGAGGACCCAGGTTCAATTCCCAGTCAGGGCACATGCCTGGGTTGTGGGCTCAATCTCCAGTAGGGGCAGCCAGAGGCAGCCAATCAATGAGTCTCTCTCATCATTGATGTCTCTATCTCTCTCTCCTTTCCTCTCTGAAATCAATAAAAATATTTTTAAAAAATGCATTCATTTGCTGGGGGGTGGGGGGGAAGAGGCCCAATGTAATTAAATAAATACCAGCTGCAAGTATTAGTTGTTGGTAATGTATTAAGCTCAACCCTTGTATCTGAAATAACAAAAAGTCAGTATATTCATGTTAGTGAGACTTTCAGGATTCCTTACTAAATTATCAAATATATCTAAGGGATACAAAACAAATCTCTACATCCCAAGGCATTCCTTTATGTATTTGTGAAATCCTCCAAATTTCACGAGGGAAATAAGCCTTTATTCAAAAGGAAACTTTAAAGGTTGAATACAAAGACAGATGAAGTGTAAGTATATTCTAACCTGTCTGATAGCAAATCACTGTTAAAAGGGAACTGATAAAAAGGCAATAACTGACTTTGTACATATAGCCTGACGTCAGTGAATGTGTAACAAGATCAGTCACTTTCCTGGTGGGCATGACTGTCTTCTGTTTTACAACTAAACTATAATGAACAAACAAACAAAATAAAGCTTACTAATTGCCTGATCAGTTTCCACCATTTAATGCAGCAGCCAATTCAATCCTGCTACATAATTGATTCTAGCTATAAACCCAGCAGTGTCTGCTCTGCAGTACATACGTACTTAAGTGTTTTTTGTGTTATTGTTGGTTTTCTTTTGGGGGGGGGCAGGGAATCTGTTAGTTGCAACAATATCTAACACGAAGGGACTGTTAAATGTAATAGAAAAGGAAATTATAAAAGAGACACCCACTTCACATACCATGAAATTGTGTTAGCTCTGTATTCCAGTTCCAAATCCTACCTTGATGATACACTTGCCAAATCCCTTTAGACCACCATTACTTTATCTGTGAAATGTAGTGATTTTATTAACTTCAGCATCACTTCAAGCTAAAGAACTGGAGTTGACATAAATGGATTATGTTCATAGGATTTCATAACGGGGTTTTCTTAGGGGATTTTAAATGACGCTCTCTGTAAAATATTTTAGAATGTAAATAATCTTCAGGCAAGGTGAAAAGGTTTCTGACCTCCTCCCTTCCCCAACAACGTTGTTCAGTCGTGTAAGGGTAATTTTCAAGCTTCCTGAGGTATGCCCTTCCACCTCCAAGTGTCTGGCACAATGTCTTTGCTCACAGCACACATTTCAAAGGTCAACTCCAGAGAAGCACAACTATGAAATGCAAGGTTAGCATTTATTCCAAGCTCATAAGGAGCACAGGAGTGGAGGTATGGTGCGAGGGACAAGGACAGTGAGGTGGGAGGGGGAGATACAGACTTCCAAATGCCCAAGGTGTAAAAAAGAAGAATTTTAAAACTAGGAATAAACTGGGGCTCAGCATTAAGTCCTAGTTAATTCATAAAAGGCCCTTATCTTAATTTCTCTCTTTCTTACAACCTAGCACGTAATAGGTTTTTAATTAAGATCCAAGAGAAGAAAGAAATCAAGCCCCGCTGAGAGTAAAACAGGATTACCCTCCACTATCTCATTTCATAACACAGCTTCGTGTTTAAGTACGTGGACTCCGGGTCCAAACCGGTTCTGTCATTTACATTTCGCCGCCACACTCTTCTCATCTGTAAAATAGGGCAACAGGGCTACTCTCCGGATTAAATGAGTGAATATACGCAAAGAACTTAGAACAGTGTCATTGTTCTGAGTGCACGTTCGGTTTCCTTAATAAGATCTCTTGAAGGCACGGTCCTAGCTTCTGTTTCCTTAGCACCGCGCACAATAGAATACTCAATGTCTGCATGTCTTTTAAAACAAAGGAACCGAGGCTACGCGCTAGGTTACGACCGTCCAGGAGACCGACGTGGAAAGCGGCGAAGGCGGAGAAAGGCCGCGACTCCGCGCCCCCGGCCCACGCGAGGCCGCCACTTCGTCAAACAGAGCAAAGTCCTCTGGGAAGTGTAGTCTTTAGGCCTCGAGAGGGATTTCAGCCACGGGCCCGAGCGATTTAGTTGGCGGGGCTGGGAGGGAGTCGTAGTTAGCGAATAATTCAAAAGTGTTGGTAGCCCGAGAGGTGGGTGAAGCCGCTCACCTGAGTCTCCCAACACCAGGACCTTTACCCGATCCAGGGACGCCATCTTGCCACTGCCTTCCGGGGTTCACGCCTGTTCCTGATTTTAAGCCAATCAGAGCCGGGCACGGAGGGCGGAGCCTTCCCTGTCATTGGCCAATCGGAGTGTGACTCGCTTCATTGACGGCTTCGCTGTGCTGATTGGCCGGCTCGGTTGAAAGTAGCGGGTGGCTCCCGAAGCGGGTCGCAGGAATAAGGCGTTCTCTTTGTCGCACGAATGGCGAGGCTCGCTGGAGCCGGTAGTTGAGGCGCTGAGGGAAGCTGTAGTGCCAGTGTTCGAGGATTCGCCTGGGTAAACCTTGTTCCCTGTTCCTTGTTCTGGGTTCCCTGGCCCGCAGTCGTGTTTCAGGGTTTCTCCTTTTCGCTCCTTTCTCCTTAGCTACGCTCCTCCTCTCAGCTGCTCTCTGGACTGGGTTCTCTAAAGAGCCATGGAGCCCGGAGCGGCCCGTGTGCGACCTCGGGCAGGACCATGGGCTCCACCGCGTGTGGCCCCCGCACTCGGCTGGCAGAATCCGAGGGAGTCGGGGGTCGCGCAGTGTGGGGAGGAGTGGACATGACTGCACCGGGCGCGTGGAGGGCAGCTGGGTCCAGAGGTTTCGCGGTGGTCTGCAGCTTTCTTATGTAGGAAGGCGTGGAGAGACCATGAAACATGGTAACTGGAAAAAAAACAAAAAAACAAAAAAACCCCTCTGCAGTTAAATGTATAAGATTCAAATTCGTATAGAACTGGCTTAGTAGTATATTGGAATAATCGTCTGGATTAATAAACGGGACCACCCCCCGCAACCTCTTCTTTCTCCGTTTATCTTATACCCTGAGCATAATCTTTTAAAATTGCAGATTTGGTCCTGTTGCTTCCTGCCTAAAACCATTTGAAGTTTAAGAAGAGGGATTCCACTACTAGCCTATCTTTTTCTGCTCTGGAAGCCGCGGTGGAGGCAGTAGAGCGCGGGGAAGTTGGCGGGACGGGCCTATGGGAGGAACACGTGCTTGGGGAAGCCCCCGGGAGTTTTAGGGCAGCCCCTGACGAGCGGTGCCGGGTTTTGAAAAGTCAGTGGTGAACGTGCTATCCCCGTTCTCAGACAGATAGGAGAGTACAAGTCTCTTCGCTGCAAGGAAGGAGGTTGGGAAAGAGCCTCGGGAGCTTGTGAAATGGGATTGAACACACTGAGCTATTCGGGGAATCTGGGAAGGTCTCCGAGGAAATGTCGTTTGAGATGCGAAGGATGATTAGAAGAGAGTTTGAGCAGGGAGAACGGAATGTGCAAAGGCCTGGAGGTGGGGAAGGCGTATGTGGCTGATGGAGTGGAGAGCGTGCCAGTGTGGCTGGAGATAAGAATGACGGGGTTAGACAGTGCAGGGAACTCATTCATTCCCATTTTGTTCCTCCAGCTCTGTGCCTGGTGCAGTGTCGTTCTTCAATGTTTGTATGCCTATCGTGCATATGATTCAAAAACAAGATCTTTGGGGAGCTGTGCTGGGTAGGGAGGTAGGTGAGACTGGGAGGGACTGAGACTCTGAAGCAATAAAGAAGAAAAAAAGGGGTTGCCCTGAGAGGTTACAAACTTAAAAATTTCCAGAGACCAGCCAGGCAAGCTCTTTCCCTGTTTAAAAGTGACAGCTGCTTTTCAGCTTTTTTTTTCTTCTTCTTTTTTTTTCATATGGGAACCTGGTCTCACTTTTCCTCAGATATTTCCAATTTTCAAGAGGAGCTGAAAGTTGAGATTTATGTGAAATCCCACTATTTTTAATGTTGGCAACTAACTCAGAACATTTTCAAGACATTCTTTTGGTCAAACAGTGTGGTAGAGGCTGCCAGTTTGGTACCTCTGACCTAAATAATTTAAGAAATCCAGAGATTGAGTAGGAGATTTAGCATACGTGGGGAAGTAGAAGTGATAGAGAAGAGAAGGCAGTGGTCAGGAAGGACGATTTTAGAAGGGAGAAATTTCGAACGAGGTGGCATGATTTCTTTCCTGAGCTCCAGTTTCATTCATTCAGCTACCTGCTGGACATCTTCACAGGAATATTCTGTAGTATTTCCTCAAAGAGAAGCAACTAAAAGTGAATGCCTCATTTCTTTCAAACCTGTTTCTCTGCAGGTGTTAGCCTATTTTTTCATAGTAGTATTTTTCTTGGTTACACTGGTTTAAAACAAATAGCTGTATCTTTTTGTACTAATAACATTCTTGTTTAATGCTTATAGCGTTTCAGTTTTATAAGATGAAAAGAGTTACAGAGATGGATGGCGGTGATCGTTATATGATGTTATGAATGTATTTAATACCACTGGACTGTATACTTAGAAATGGCTAATTGGTAAATTTTGTTATGTGTATTTTACCGTAATAAAACATTTATTTAAAAATAAATATTTATTTGGTTAAAAAAATAACTACTTAAAATTTTCCTGCTTTTTAAAATCCCATTTCCATTATATTATTGGGCCCTTTTGATTGTGTTTCTGAAAAGTAGAATTATCTAGGGAGCATCCTGTTCTCTTGCTATAGTTTGCTTTCTTTCTTAGTTCAGGTTTGATTACTATAGCTCCTAATACTTCCATATACATCCATCTTCACTTACCTCGATCCATTCTTCATATTGTTGTAGAGTCACTGTTCTAAAAAGGAGTTCTTAGTGTGAATACCAGTGATGGAACTCTTATGATGCCACCTCTGAAAGCAGCATATTTTTCATGGATTATTTCATTTAATCCATGCATCAACTCTATGAGGAAGGAACTGTTAATCACTTTTTATGCATGAGGAAACAGAATTTTCAGGGCCACAGGTTAAGAAATGGTGGAACCTGGGATTCAAAACCCAAAACTATTGGACTGCAGAGTCCTCATGCCACTCCCTTGCTCTAATCATTAGGACCCTCTAAGTCAGTGGTTCTCAACCTTTTCAGCACATTAAAAGCAACTTGGATCTTTTTAAATCCTGATTCCTGGGCCTCATTCTCCAGAATATTACAATATATATAAAAAATAGGTGGGGCCCACAACATTAGTAACAAAGAAACAGAATTTCCAGAGATGAGGCTCAGAAATCAGGATTTTAAAAAGATTCCCAGGTGATTCTAATGTGCAGCCAAGGTTGAGAACCACTGCTCTAAGTTGTTTCAGGCAGTGGAAACAGGCTAAGTGAGTAGCAGAGGGTCCTCAATGCATGATGTGTGTTGGCATAATATGTAATAGCCAGTCACCAGATTTGTCTGGAGTAGTGGTCAGGGACTTTTTCTGTTTATTGGAGTCACCTAAAGAGCTTTTAAAATATGATGCCTAATCTGATCCTCCCAGACCAGTTGAAACAGAATCTCTGGGAATGGGGCCCACGTGGGTACTTCCAAATGCTTCCTAGATGGTTCTACTTTACAGCCAGGGTTGAGAACCATTGATTCCAGAATATGGAGTGTATGTTGTGGGAGGTCAGGGAGGGGAAATAATGTTGGAAAAGTAGGTTATTTTGACATTTGTTTGCCATTCTTTGGTCTGTTGGATGTTTCTGAAGCCGTATTTTGTGTTCTGCCAATCATTAAGCATATAAAAAACACAAAAACAGCTGTGTTCAAGTACAGTGTATCAACTAAATTGGAAAGGAGAGCAAAATGCATCTGATAGTGTGCTATAAATACTTTGGTGTTGAACCCAGGCTCTTGCTTGGCACCCTTGATCCTTGAGATAACAGGAAGGTGGTAAGACCACAGGTTTGGATCTAGGTGCTACTTTGTTATCTCATAGTCATGCCTGAGGGTTTACAATAGGAAATATATATTTAATTGTAACTTTTTATTTATTTCTTTATTGCATGTAGGGCATTATATCCCCCCCCTTCCACAAAAATATTTCTTATGAAAGGAGATACTGTTGATAGCCACTGATTTGAAATAAAAAGATTCAGTAGATAGCAGTGTTAATTACAAAAGATTACTCCCTTTTGAAATTATTCAGTGGGATGTCTCTTAAAAATTTCCCTATGGTATAGGGAATTTCATTTGACAGTATGTCTGGATAGCCTGACCATTTTTACTTTAGGACATATTAAATCTATATGGAAGCTATTCTCTTTTTTTAAAAATGTTTTAATTGATTTTCTTTTTTTTGAGCGAGAGAAACATCAATTGGTTGCCTCCTGTACCCACTCTGACCAGGGATCTACTAGGGTACAACCCGCAACCTGGGTGTGTGCCCTGACTGGAAATCAAACCGGCAGCCTTTGGTGCATGGGACAATGATCAACCAACTGAGCCACCCCCACAAGGGCGATGTGGGAGCTGTTCCTACTAATAAGTGCTTCCTAAGCACATTACTTACATTCTCATTTATTCATCACAACAACCTTATTGAAATAGCTGATATTGTTATTTCGCTAAGAGAATAAAGTATGGCTTGTGGTGGTTTAAGTGATTTGCTTAGGATCACACAGCTACTAAAACACAGGTTGTCCAACTCTGACTTCCAAAGCCCATCCTTTAAAACAATCACGTGAAAGTCTAGCCCATGCCATTTTGGGCTTCAAAAAGAAAGCTTTTTGGGTCATGATATAAGAATTGGGTACAATTGGTTTTCAAGGAGGTCCAGTATTTAAGGATATCTTGGGGTGTTTGTTTGCTTTTTAAGGACTACATGGTATTAATTGGTGACTAGATTTAAGTTAACAAGGTTGGTAAAGCTATCTAGATCTAAGTGTTAATTTCTTTCATATTTATAGTAATAATTTTGCTAAGCATCCCAGTTGGTGATTACTTATGTGTTTTTTGGTTTGTTGTGATTTTATTGTGGAAGCATGACTATGTAAAACATTCTAGAATCTATCCTGAGAGAAATTTTTTTTAATTATATTTTTTAACCCTCACCTAAGGATATGTTTTTATTGATTTTAGAGAGGGAGAGAGAGAGAGGGAAATACTGATGTGAGCCCTAACCAGTTTGGCTCAGTGGATAGAGCATCAGCCTGCGGACTCAAGGGTCCCAGGTTCGATTCCGGTCAAGGGCATGTACCTTGGTTGCAGGCACATACCCTGTGGGGAGGGTGCAGGAGGCAGCTGGTCGATGTTTCTAACTCTCTATCCCTCTCCCTTCCTCTGTAAAAAATCAATAAAATATATTTTTTTAAAAAGAAAGAAAGAAAAATACTGATGTGAGCACTGATTGGAAGCCTCCTGTACCCCCAACCGGGGATCTACCAGGGAACAAACCTACAACCTGGGTATGTGCCCTGACTGGGAATTGAACCTGTGGCCCTTTGGTGCACAGGATAGTGCTCCAACCAACTCAGCCATACCAGCCAGGGCTATCTTGGTAGAAAAATTTTACTCAAGAAATAAAGACACTTTAAGGAGATGCTAATGGTTAGACTTCTTGCGGGGGGTGCGGGGGGGGGGGGTGGAGGGTGGGCGTAACCCAGCATTTCCAAAGATCTATAGCAGTGATTTTCAATTGGAGTACTGCCACAGGCCGCTGATGTGCCACAAGAATTTTTGAAACATGGAATACCTGGCTATTTAAAAGACCTCTTTTCCCTTAGATTGTCAAATAAAAATATGATAGCAACCAATGCACCATAACCGGTGTGCCATGGAAGTTAGAAATTAATTTATATGTGCCATGAGATGAAAAGGGTTGAAAATCACTGATCTATATAGCATTAATACTAATAAGACTTTATTTAATTTTTTTGTGTTTCCCTTACTGAAATAAAGTGGGTTTGATAAGTATCATTGCTATAAGTAATGTTAATTTTTTTAATCAAGCACATTGTAGATCATGAAAATAATCATTTAAGTAATATGCCAAGCTTTTTAGGTGTAATATTTTGTATACTTGGAGGAAAATCTTGTTCTCTGTTAAATGTTTTGGCATTATAAGTCTTATAAAACAATGTTCTGAGTGCCTTTATGGCACTCAAAGAGTAGTGATAGCTACCTAATGAGTTGATTATTCTAGATTTAAAATGATTACTGTGTCCTCATTGTGCCTATGTAATCTTCTCTTTTTTTCTGAATTCAGTACATTTAAAGTTGAAGTTTGCCGCTAAAGATGGCAGACCCAGATGTCCTCACCGAGGTTCCTGCATCATTGAAGAGGTTAGCCAAGTATGTGATCCGGGGCTTCTATGGCATTGAGCATGCTTTGGCCTTGGACATCTTGATCCGGAACCCTTGTGTGAAAGAGGAGGATATGTTGGAGCTGCTCAAGTTTGATCGGAAGCAGCTTCGTTCAGTTTTGAATAATTTAAAGGGAGACAAGTTCATCAAATGCAGAATGAGAGTAGAGACTGCTGCGGATGGGAAAACCACTCGCCATAACTACTACTTTATCAATTATCGTACTCTTGTTAATGTGGTAAAATATAAATTGGACCACATGAGAAGGAGGATTGAAACTGATGAGAGAGATTCCACCAACCGGGCTTCCTTCAAATGTCCTGTATGTTTTAATACTTTTACAGATTTAGAAGCTAATCAGCTCTTTGATCCCAGGACAGGTGAGACTTTTCCTTATGAATCTTTTAAGTAACTTTTAAAAAATATGTATTCTTTTTCTTAAATTGATTCATCTAATTTTTAAGCCAATCATGTATCTTACCTAATAATAGACAAACATGTAAATTGACCGTACCTTTGCTATGCTAACCAGCCAATCAGGAGAGTATGCAAATTAACCTAACAAAGATGGCAGTTAATTTGCATACGTAGGCTCAAGCGGTGGAGCAAAACCTCACGGGCCTGGGGCCAGCGGCGCAGCGAAGCCTCACCGCCCCGGGGCCGGCTCCGGCTGGAGCCCGGTCAGAGCGAAGGCCTGGGTGCCGGAGGAAAACCAGTGCCAGCAGCCAGGGGAAAGGAAGGCCTATTGCACGAATCTCTTCATGCAACAGGCCTTTAGTATCATTATAAAAGTGAATGGATTGGTGTAAATCACTATATGGTCTGTGTTAGTCTTACTGCCCTGTTTGACTGTTATTCTTTTAGAAGCTCTTGTAAAGCCTTTCTCCTTCACAAAGGAGTGTACTCTTCCACCCATGGCCTTCCTACCTCTGTTCCCACCTCCACCCCTATTTACAGGTACAGCTCAATCTGAAAGGTTGACTTCTCTATCACTTGAAGACTATTCTGACCATTTCACTTTTGACCTCTTCATCCAGTATATATTTAGCACCTGTGTATGCCAGTCACTGCCAGACAGTCACAGTACAGTGCATATAAATGTTATGTTAGTGGAAGTGTAAAGTGCTATCAGGAGTACATAAATAGGGCTTCTAATCTGGAATGGCCTCTGAAAGAGCTTAAGTAACAGCTGAGACTTAAAAGATAAGAGTCAGCCAGATGCAATTAGAGGGGCATCTTTTCCTTCAAATGGATGGATATTAAATCTCTTAGGCATTACTTAGTGGAAGAAAACTGTCAACAAGATATATAATTTTTTCCATTTAAATACTTTAGTTAAGGATCTTTTTAATCAACCAGAATTTACAAAACACATTTTCAAATAGTTCAGTATATCTGGCATTAACATCAAAAACTTAAAAGTGCTGGGTTGTATAGTTATTTTGTCTTATCATTTATAAACAGGTAAAGAGACTATAGTTTTGCTAATTATTCAGTAGACAATTTGGTCTTACTTTCAAGTGTAAAAATCAATAGAAAGAGTCAATGCTGTTAAGTTAGATTGTCCTTTTGTTATGGCTGAATTCAGGAGTAGAGGTGACTTTCTAAAAAATTCCTAGATCTGCCTTTGAAAAAAACTATCAAAAATGTAATTTAAACTTTTACACGTTAAATTTTTATTGTAAAAAAATTACAGATTTGTCCAGCTGGCTTCGCTCAGTGGTTGAGCATCGACCCAAGAATCAGGAGATCGTGGTTCCATTCCTGGTCAGGGCACATGCCTAGGTTCTGGGCTCGATCCCCAGTAGGGGGGCAAGCAGGAGGCAGCCGATCAATGATTCTCTTACATCATTGATGTTTCTATCTCTCTCTCCCTCTCCTTTCCTCTCTGAAATCAATAAAAATATATTTTTAAAAAATTACAGATTTTTGTACATGTTTAATTTTCTAATTTTGTACATGTTACATATTGTACACTTAAAATTTTTTAAGTGGGAAATAATCTCAATATCAATTAAGATTATTAATAAAAAGAGCTAGCTTAGGACTTTTTTCCCCCCTTATTTATGTGAAGCAGTCATTTTGGATGGAAAATCATTTAAAGAATTCTCATTTGTGTTAAATGTTTATTTTGCCCGAATCTTTTTACCTTGAATGGACTTCACTAGGAAGGCTCTTGTTATAAGAAAATCTAACCATCCTGATTATAAGGATTGTTTGAGTGTGCTATAGAGGAAGTTGTAGAATATATCTGGAGTTCTTTCAAAATAAACTAGGGAAATCTCGTGTTTTTTGCTATTCACCTTAACAGATTTTTTTTCTTTTTTATTATTATTATTTTTAATCCTAACCCGAGGATATATTTTTATTGATTTTTGGGGATGGGGGGTGGGGAGAGAGAAACAGAAACATATGCACAGGAATCAAAACTCTCAATCTTTTGGTGTACAGGACAGTGCTCCAACCAACTGAACCAACCGGCCAGGCCAATTCTACCCGATTTCTTAAAGGAGCTCTGGGTTTTGGTTTTGTGATTCTATGCAGATGTTGGTGTTACAGTTAGTGGTCATCTTCATCACTCTTGACTGCAGTAGAAGGTGTTATCCGGTCCCTCAAAGAGGGTAATCTAAAGTAATGTGCTTCTACTACATTTATTCATCATTTTATTCTTATTTCATGAAGCTTTCTAAAAGGAAGTTACTCCAGTATTTATATTAGTATTTAGGAGATTGATCTATGATGCTCTTTGAATTTCACCCAACGTTAGTGCCTGAATGAAGCTAATTGTAATCAACAGCTGGGTAGCTTATGGAAGAGATGGTCTGGCACCCAAATAGTCAAGGTTATTTAAATCAGGGAGTTGAGATAGAGTAGGGGGAATAAAAATATTTTATGAAAGAGAACTAAAACTGTAATAATTGTTTTGTGGCCAGTCTGAACAAAGACTTTTTAATATGAAGACTATGGTCAGCATGAAGGTGTAAAGAAGGTGTTCAAGGAAAGTAAGAATAAATCATTTACCTTGGTATCACTTGGGGGAGGGTGCCCTGGGGAATGTACTCGCCTTTTGATTATAATTTGGCTTTTCATTTGGACTTTCCTTTAAGGACGGAATGTGCTGACTAGGTGATATTAGGACCCAGCCTGCTTGTCAGTTTTGTCTTATTTTCACTATTACCTTATACCTTCTGTGTTCTATACATTCCCTTTAGAAACTTTGGTCTTTTTTTCCCTTCCTGATTTGCTCAGAATTCATTCCCTTCACACTCATTTTGAAGAAGATGGGAAATAAACATTTGGGTATGTGTATCAGAGTAGGGGGGGAGGCTTTTTCTGCTGTAATATTGTAATATTTATGCTCTGTTTAAGTTGATAGATTACAGTTTTCATTCTAAGCCCAATCCTGTACAAAGCTATTCTATTTCTTGGTTGCTGTTGGAGATTGAGGATGTTTCTGACCAAATGATGGGATTATCTACTGAGCTATCTTCATTCCCATCTCAACAGTTATTAGGTTGAACTCTTATATTATCAAACTAGAGGCCCGGTGCACAAAAATTTGTGCACTCGGGGGGGAGAGGGGGTCCCTCAGCCCGGGCTGTGCCCTCTCGCAGTCTGGGACCCCTCGGGAGATAATGACCTGCTGGCTTAGGCCTGCTCCCGGGTGGCAGAGGGCAGGCCCAATCCCTAGGTGCAGCCCCTGGTCAGGCTCAGAGCAGGGCCGATTGGGGAGTTGGGGCGCTGCCCCCTGTCATGCACACAGCAGGGCGGATCGGGAGGTTGCAATGCCACCCCTAGTCAAGCTCAGGGTAGGGCCGATTGGGGGGTTGGGGCACCGCCCCCTGCCTCACTCAAGGCAGGGTTGATAGGGAGGTTGCGGCGCCACCCCGTCACTCACAGAGTAGGGCCGATAGGGGAGTTAGGGCACCGCCCCCTGTCACACACAGAGCAGGGCGGATCAGGGGGTTGGGGCGCCGCCACTGTCACACTCAGGGCAGGGCCAATGGGGAGGTTATGGCTCTACCCTGTCACACACAGAGCAGAGCCTGTGTGTGTGTGTGGGGGGGGGGGGGGGGGG